GTCAAGTCACACATTCCATTGAGTTCACCGGTTTATAGATTTAAAGGGACACTGCCTTTTAATTTGACACATTATAGAACTTGTCACACAGAGAGGTGGTCACAGGCAAGCAGGTGTGTTGTTTGGTTTTTCTTTAAGAAAGAATTGTTTGTTTTACTTTGGATACAAAGATACATGGTTAGTTGTATAAGAATAAATGGGTTTTAAAGAGGTCACGTCTTTGGACATGTTCAGGTGGAAGTTGGATAATCTTTTGGACAGAATGGCTGGATCACATCAGTGTTTCCCTGAGTGGAGGAGATACGATGGCTCTGGTGGCACGGAAACCTTTTCTTAATTAAAATTAAATCATAGAGTAAGATAGTAATTCTTTTCATCTCTCCTTCAATTCTTCAGATTGTAGGAAAGACAGTCTTAGCTACTTGTCACCCTTGAACACATTTGCTTACACCTCCCTCTTTTTTCCTTTTTTTAAATTATGAGAGTGGCGGCGGGTGTTTGAGTTTCTCAGAGTCTTTGTCAGGCAACTCTATCAATTCAAAATTTCATAACACTGCTATTTACTATCTGCTTCACAAGAAAAGGAACAAGAAGTTCCCATTTTTGGTAATGATTTGAAGCACTGTTAAAAAAAAAGTATGTTAAAGTAGAATTAAAGTAAGTGAGAACAGGAATGGTGCCTAGGCTGGAAAATGTTGGACTAGTTGGCTTTGGGGTGAAGATGCCATGACTATGAAAATCAGATTTGGGATCATGTTCTTAAGACAGTCAATGCAATTGCCTCGTCCTTCTTGTGGGGAGTTCAGAGAACCAGTGTCATTAATGTAGAAATTTGCTTACATAGATTGCATCAGTTAAGCGATTTGGGAAGTTTTCTTTCTTTACGGGACTTCTTTTGTATTCAGGAATCCCCAGTGACCAGCCCAGGTCTCACACAGTAAAACAGCTGTGAATGGACGTTACAGGATAAACTTCATCTATTTTACCATCCCACTCCAACGTGCCCTCCTGAAGGCCCCCACATGGCTACTGTAGATACTATTGATGCCCCCCTGTCATCCCCTTTCACTTATAATATGTCCCACTCCACAGAGACGGTCTGCCAAAAGCTCCCCACTTCCAGACATGAACCTTCTTTTGCGATGAGTGATTGAGGGGAGATGCACACTTTGAATGGAAGAGAAGAACACACTAGCTTTCTAAAAAAATTCAAAAGTAAAGAGGGGGTGATGGCCATGTCTACACTGTACAACCAGATATGTTGTCTAATTGTTATCCAGTGAATTTCAATCAGGTGAAGTCAGCCAAGCCAACTCATATTTCTGGCATGAAATATCTAGTTTGGCTGCTTATCCTGACCAAATCAATAGAAATTGGTGCCAAATCCCTATTTTATTGTGTGGTGTGTTGGCACAGACATATTCTTCTTGTTCAAAAAAATAGGTACTTGAGTACAAATGTAGCCATTAGGCTTTCTCCCAGCTTCTCCCTGGCAGCTTCTGGAATGCTAATACACACCAGGGATGTTTGGAAAGATTTGAATTTCAATTCAGGACAAGGAAATCGTGGCTTACAGGGGTCTAGGAGCCATAACTCACAAACACAGATGTTTCAAGTACAAAACTCTAGCTTAGATTTCATGGTTTCAGGGCTGGTTATGTAGCTCAGTGGTAGAGTGCTTGCTTAGTATGCACGAGGTTCTGGGTTTGATTCCCAGGACTGCAAAACTCCACTCAGTGAAACTAAACATGACTTCATTCAATTAAATATATAACCTGTTTTCTAGAATCTTCCAAAACAGAATGCTTAGTCCAAGAAATGCAATAACAAATTAATGGAATTTCATTTCCATCTGTGCAGACCCTCAGGCATTGAACTTAAAATCATTAAGTTTTTCTGCTAGGAAATACTTTCTATGGGAGTGTGACCTCTGAGTTCTTACTATGATGTTCTTGTCTTGTGCAAAATAGACTAAAACAGCTTCTAAACAATGTGGTCATACCCAGAAGATGGAGGGGAGAGGCTTTGCAATAGCTATGTTAAGCCAGCAATAAACATGGCGGTCAGTAGCTAATTTCACTGTTGCAAATCAATCTTTAGCATGGAACTGCCATTGGTTGTGTCAGGCAAAATATGAAACCCAGTGACAGCCTTATGGGTGAATGAATTGAGCAGTGCATTTCTCATTATTACCACCGACATCCAGACCTGAGTTTTGATGCTGGACTGGCCCAATAGATACACTTTGCTTGTCTTGCAGTGTTTTGTTTAGTGAATTATATCAACATTTAAAAATGCATTAACATTGATAAAGAGCTTTTAAAAATTTGGATCACATCATTCTCTAGAAAACCAGGAAGATTTGGCCCTTGTTGATATGTGGCAATGATTGGCAGGAGGTGATTAGTCTTACTTTTCAAGTCCCAACAGTGTCCTTGCCTCTCTTTTGTCCGCTTGTTCTGCAGTGTAATCACTTCTTACTTATCATTACACTTGTCCATGATCCTTCTCCCATTGAGGAGAAATATTTCTCTGTATCCATGACTCAATCAAAGTAAGAAAACAAAAAGCAGTCTGAAAGGGCAGCTTCATATATATATATTACGAGCTTGAAGATTGGAAACATTTGAGATTGTTTTTCCATCCTAACAGAATGGAGCCTTCCTTTGTTCTTTCCCTAGGCAACAGGTTCCCCAGTAACATTTCTCAACACACACAGGGATCCTCAGGGGTTGGCTTAATTTGCAAAAAATTCCCCCCTGCCATTCCCAATAGATCACACCCTTTGGTTTAGAATGATTTTACTCAAAGACATGAAGGAAATTCTTATTAAATCAATCATGCATTTTAATTGATCGTAAGTATCTAAATTACTGTGTAGCTTGGAAATTACTCCTTTGAGACTAGCACCTTAGAAAGATCTTTGGCAAAGCTAAATTATGGTCCTCAGGCTCCTTGTCTTAACACAGTCCTGGGTAAGAGCTAAGACTCTCTTAATGGTCCCATGTGGCAACACTCCCAAAACGCAATTAGATTACATTATAAAAACCATTTAATATTGGTTGTTTGAAGCTTATAATTCCTTTCTGTTTAATAACAATATTGTAAATATTGATAATTTCTTCAAGGTTTGAACAAAATTTCTTTTTAACCAAGCAAAGGGACTGCATCATAGATTTTTTTTCTTTCTGCAAAATGATGCAACAAATTCCTTCTATAAAGTTGATTACTAATTATTAAAAACACCAAGGAATCCTACTTCAAGGTAAATGTGGATTGAGTCTGCTACAAAAGTAGCACATTAAAAACTGTATCATTTAAGGGCTTTTCTCTTCTTAACAGCAACACTGTGGGTTTCCAGCACAATTACGTAAAAGCAGAAACCTCTTGATACTGGTTCCACTCTGGAAGAGCCAGGATAAGGAACCCAAGACCCTTTGGTTTGTGTCCAGGAAAATTATATGTTCTCAGTTTGGATGCCTCGCAAGTAGGGGGATGAAGAGGCACTCATTGTTCTACTAAATAAAAACTTGGATGTGGGTTCTGACCCATGTTTTATGTAAATAATTTGTTTCCCTAGAAAAATGGATAACAAAATGAAAATATGCCCTCAGGTCAGCGTTGAATATAGTTTCTGTGATAAGAATTGAAGCTGCTACGATTACCCCTCCTTAGCAATGGATTAGACCAGTTTCACAAACAAGTACCCCAAAGGTCTACAGGACTGGTTTGTGTGCAATCCATCCTCTAATACAAGCTGGTATACATGAAATTACTTGTTTAGGGCTCTGGACATGTGGGAGCCAGCTGAGATCTACAAGGCATTGAGGAAAAAATCTAACTCAGTTCCTGTCCAAGTAATGGTCAGCCCTCCAAGGCATGTGATAGAATGTTGCCTCATGACTTTCGAGTTGCACTATGAAATTTTCATTGCACAGAGATCTTGAAAGGAGATTATAAGTATCTTTGAGAACTCCCTGGGAAGAAGGGGAAAGATGCTCAGAGATAGCTCACACAGAGGTGAAGTGGTCTGCCTAAGGGGGAAAAGAGAACAGGGTCAGTAATACCTGAGTTCTGGGCTTTAGCTACAAACCCAGAAACCATCCTGCTGGGGCAGTGTCTATGGAAATTCCTTCTCTGAGTCAGAGATGTGCTATGGGGAGACAGAAGAGTGGGCAGGGAGGAATTCACAGGAATGTTTCTCTACCACTTCTTGGCTCAGTCTGTATTCGTCAATCAATATGCCAGTGACTCTAGCCTTTTTCCATGCAGGGGTGAACTACTGTCTCACTGTCATGGAAAATCGAAAGGTATCCTGCAAAGCTTCCACTGGTTAAAAATTCAAGTGGCAACTAACAAAATATCCAACAGGGAAATCTCCCACCCCCTCCCCACTCTCCCCCCAGAATAAAAGGTAATGGGGGTGAGGGGTAACTGGAGAAGGAAATGAAATCATGCGGGTATACCAGGAAAAGACAAAGTGTTGGTGGCAGCAGAATTGGTGAGTGTGTTGTGGGCATTACCTCTTGATGAGGCTTCCAAGAAGGCTCCCGCTCAAGTCCTGGTGGCTCTGAGAACAAGCATTCTTGCATCAATAGCTAATAGGCTGTCCAACCAGATGTTATCTGGGTGGGATAAGAGGGTGAGAAAACAGACCTGTTGTACGCTGTTGTCAACTACATCACTGTGGTCAGAGAAAGCTGGACGTGTGGTGTCTAGCAGGGCACCTCTTCCATGGTGAGGCAGACCAGATTACATGGCTGTTTGAATCCATTTTTCTCTTGTGATTGGTAAAATATGAGAGTTATAATCATTCATGCATTACTAAAGCCTCCTTTCCATCATTTTGAAGGGACTTTATTTTTCTAGAGCAGAGCATGCATCCAGTAGAAACCAAACCGTTTGCTTTTCTAAGTGATCTTTTGCAACAAGCACACTTAAAACAACAACAACAACAACAACAACAATAACAAACCAATATCAAAATCTGCAAATGGTACCTGTGACAAGACTGGAGACAATGAGCGGTAAGACCAACATCTGTAACATCCTCATCAGAAGCTCCCCAGGAAAGGAGAAGTACTTAATTTCCCGGTAGCTCATTTTGTATGGTCGGAGGGTAAATCCAAGGATTGTACCTGAAGGAAGGAGGAAAAAGAAAAAAGAAAGAAAGAGAAATTGAGTGTTTTGAAAACTAAAGCAACAGTCCTAGAAAAATGAGCAAGTATTTGGCTGGTGGTTACTCATGCCTGACAAGAGTAAATTTATTCAATCAGCAAATATTTGTACAGATTTGGGAGCATCTATCTTTGCAATCATTATTTGGAAGGGTTTGGCTGGATCCATGGCTTCAAGAAGAACTTACAAAAAAATGTTTTGGTTTGGGCAAATGAAAAATTTCTTTGTCTAATTTGAATGCAGTAGAATTCATTTTGACATGGCTTGGTATAGAGGAACAATAATCAAGAAACAAATCATGTCCTCATGAACAAGGTGATCTGGAAAAAAGAACTTATTATAATGAAGTTCATTTACAATAACAGATGTTAGAACTGCTGGTATAACCACTTATAAAGGATAACGTGATTTTATTTTTTTTTCCAATTTAAAAAAAAAAAAAAAACCCTTCCTGCTCATACTGCTAATCCGTTTTACCATCTCCTGTCTGCACACCACATTTTCTTCCTCTGTCTACATGGTCTTGACATTGCCTTGGCAACTGTATTATACAGACTTGTTAGTTGCTGGCAAGAGAAGACTTCAAAGTGAGCCAACTTTTCCCAAAAATTTCCCCTGAAAACTTGAGGGCAAATAGGGAAAAGAGAAAGCAAGTTCCTCCTTAGTTTCCCTTCTGTTCCTGGAACCTCAAAAATATTCTTAGAATGATAACTTCATATGTAAATCAAATGATGCATGATACTTATTGACATTTTCAGAAATTAATGAAGGCACAGAACAAATTGATTCATTCTCTCTCCCCTCTCCCTAACTTACTTTCCTTGCTAAAGAAAATTTCCTTACACCCTGAGGCAGGAGGATTGCAAGTTCAAGGTCAGCATCAGCAACTTAGCATGATCCTATCTCAAAATAAAAATAAAAATGGCTGGAAATGTAGCTCAGTTTAAGGCACCCCTAGGTTAAATCCCTAGCACCTCCTAAAAAATTACTTATATAAATATAGTAAAATTTGGTTTTTATTAAAACGTGATTTTATATTTCATATATTTAAAGTCCATGTCAATTATAGAGAAAAGAAACTACTCAGTAGAGAGTTACCTAAAAGCTAGAGATTGGGGGTGGGAATGGGGGAGGAGGAAAGAAAACTGGGGAGACACACAAGAATTTCCAAAAGATGCAAGCAGCCCTTTACAGAAATTGAGCTTTCCTAACTTATTATGAAATGGGCTATTTCTCTTATGAAATGGGACACAAAGTTCCCCACAATTGTCACTGCAACTCGAGTTTCAATTCTTGAGCCTCAGCAACCATGAAGTTATCCATTCTCCAACTACAGCCTGTGATAATCTAATAAGGGTCTGAATGTGTGTGACTAGAAAATACAGCTGACCCAGTTTTCAGAGCCTTCAGGAAAATAGTGATTGTTTTTTCACCCACAGTGTAACAGTAATATACGCAAGAGGGCAAAGCTGCTTTGTAAAATGCAGGAAGATGGGGCAAAAGGCTGTATTGGGTCTACCACTAATATAAAAAGGAAATGGCTAATGCCTACCGAGTTCTCACTATACTCTAGGCACTGTCTAGGCTTTGTCTGCTTTAGTAATTTAATCCCTGAATACAACGCCAGGAGGTAGGTACTATTTTACCACCAATCTACTGATGAAAAAACATAATCATAGTGAGCTTAAAAATTGTCCAAAGTCAAATATTCTCAAGTGGCAGAGCTAGTGTTCAAACCAAGGCAGTTTCCACTCTAATCCAACACTCTTAACACCTTGCATCCTTGTACCTCTCCTACAGAGCAAAGACAAACATCATTAGTGCTTTAGCAAATTTCTTTCTAGAATGTTCTGAAATATAGCTACATATATGGGAATCACAGAGACTGTACTTTCCCATATATAGTCACCATAACAGCACCTTTAGCTGTCATGATGTCAGATCCAAGAACTGTCTCAGGATTTACCGAATCCTTCCTCTGTCATTTAATACTTGGGTGGTTTAGACTGAAGAACATCATGGGGAATATGTGAAGGCTACTTTCCAACTAGGAGTAGATTTTTAGTGCAGTGTTAGAGAAAGGGGACCAGTACCTTAAAGGATACAACTGTTTCAATCCATGTTATCAAACTGTCTTCCTATCAGTTTAATGTTCCTATAGTCAATGAGAATTTACTTCCTATTCTCCCTGGAGGAGAGTACTATTGTAGAAAGATTGTTAGGACAAGTCTACATGATCTTTTGCTAATGGGATGTGTAACATTATGTGATGTTTTCTTCTGGGTTTACTTAATATTTAATGATGTTGACCATATCTTCTGATTGTATTTTCTATAAGCATCCAATTAATCTGAATAGATTGAGTTTATGTATATGTGCATACATGTTTGGTATAGACTCTTTATTTAGTAAAGATAATTACTGTTTACCTATGTATCAAATATTTAACGATTTTTCTAATTTCTTTATATTTATTATTACTTTAAAATACGCAGGTATTTTTCATTTTTGCAAACTAATGTGTGCATTCCTTTTTTAGTAGGTGATTTCTTCAAGAGTTATAAGTTTAGGGCTGGGGATATAGCTCAGTTGGTAGAGTGCCTACCTCAAATGCACAAGGCCCTGGGTTCAATCCTCAGCAAAAGTTATAACTTTAATTTCCTTCTCCTCTCAAGTTTGATAAATCTTTAACTCATTTTTTATTTCTTTGCTTGTTTGTTTGCTTTGTTTTAAAGTACCTAAACTTTAATCATCCTGGAACTCAATTTGGGGTAAAGCATTTTAATCTGATTTTCAAAGTCCATTATGTAACACAGCAGCATCCACAACACATAAGAATTAACGAAAGGCTTTGGTTGAATCTTTCCTGCTTGTTCACGTAAAAGCCAAGTCACACAGAGATAAGTTCTTTGTCTTTTAATAAAATCATGAACAAATATTTTGCTTTATTTCTAATCAAATGTGATTTTACTGGAATTGATGTTTATTTATATTCAAGCATTTGTCATTCAATGACAACAAAAAATGTGCTCAATATCTACTAGAAACTCATTTTGGTCGCCTAGAATTGCTACATATAAAGCTATTAGGAATTTCAGACATCCCTCAAATGTCAATTTAAAGTCAGACTTGCTTTTACAAATTCATATCTATGTTTGTTATTAGAAATGCATTTATTCACATATGATAATATTTCCAAGAGCAGGTAGTATCCTGGTTGGTCTAGATAACCTAGTTAATTTATAATCTAGTAATAATTGATAGAATGCTGCTCTTTTAGTGATGTACATTGTGCAAACAAGAGACAAATCAGTGTGGATGAAGGAAATAATGATTCCTTCTAAATAGTAGATGTGCTTGATTCCACCTCCCAAAGTCTAACTCGTGTCAATGCTGACTCTGCTTCCTCTGTGGGGCTGGCTCAGTCCAGCCTCTTTCTTCCTGGGGTGTTCCACTGCCTTCTCTCCTCTTCCCCCCCAAACCACATTTACTCAGGATGACCAATTTTCACTTGACTGAGAGGAGGGAAAGAAAGCCAGCACAGTGAATGCATTCTAGCAATGTGTCTGACAATGCCTTAGCTCTCCAACCTGCTAAACAAATATCTAACAGAACAAAGGCCAAACAGACAGGGAGGCAAAGTCTCCAAAGGTAGTGATTTTTACGAGTGTCTCCTTATAGTCAACAAGCTGGTCTTGCCTGGAAGTGCCGTTCTGCCATCAATCCCTCTATTACGTGTCTGTTTCTTGATATTATCCAGTACAGAACACACAGTTTTTAAAAGCTCTTCTTTATAGTAGGAATAGTAGAGAGGGTTACATCCCTAATTTCAAAGGCACAGTTTTAGGTCAAAGGTTTTGAAGAGTGAAGTGGTTTAGAGTGACAGCAAGTTCAGATATAGTCTGAATCAGTTTTGTTCCTGTGTATGCTTTGGTCTTTTTGCAGTCGGTGGGTTTGCCAAATGAGTCAGTTATCTTCTTGGGAAAGAGGAGATTATGTTGGGGAGCCTTTATTGTGTGTTAATGGTGGTGTTTAACCCTCATCCCAACTTTATGAGGTAGATATTATCATATCTATTTTAAATATGAATAAATTGATGCTCCGAGGTCAAGTTACTCAGCTCAAACTTACCAAGATAGTAAATGGATGACCTGAGGGATTCTAAATAAAACCAAGCGCTCTTTCTATTACTCTTTTAATACCTCTCAAACACAAACACACCCTTGTAGACAGGGCCTGAGGTTAGTTTTCAAAGGAGCCTGGTCCCCAGGTCTTCAGTATCTTTAACCGTTAACTATGTTGTACACACCCTTGAGTAATGATCTTGGGTCCTCCAGAGGCACTTGGCACTATAAGTTTGGAACACATAATAGGTCTTCTTATTTATGAAGGTGCTATGCCAAATCCCTTTTTAATGGAATGATTTAATTACGCTCATATAAAGTTTGTTAACTAAAATAGCCTGCCTTTCCCCTCCTCTGCCCACATTTTACTCATTGGAAACCATGTGTAATAGAAGTGGAAAAGACATGAAATAAAAGCCTATTTCAGGGTTCACCTTCTTTTTTTTTGGTATCAGGGATTTAACTCAGGGGCAGCTGACCACTAAGTGACATCCCCAGGCTTATTTTATTTTATTTTGAGACAGGGTCTCACTGAGTTGCTTAGCGCCTTTGCAAATTTTGTTGAGTCTGACTATGAACTCTCGATCCTCCTGCCTCAGCCTCTAAGCAGGGTTCGCAGACTTTTTTTTTTAAAAAAATATATTTTAGTTGTAGGTGAACACAATACATCTATCTTATTTTCATGTGGTGCTGAGGATTGAACCCAGTGCCTCACGTGTGCTAGGCGAGCGCCTACCATTGAGACCAGGACTATTATCCACATCTCACAAAGAACCAGAGTCACTGAGAGGGCAGGTGAATCACCAAAACCACACAGCTGGTGCAGAGCGGAGCGT